TCAAATCTGTCCTGATGCCAGCAGGTTTTTCCTCCCATCCAGCCAATGGAAGTGGTTGTCCTCTCTCTCCTGTTGTGTTGCACCTTCATCAGGATGGGCTTCACACCTCTGGAAGTGAGCCCTGACTCTATGCTGAGGAAGATGATGGTCCAGCACCATCATTTCCATAAATTTCAACTCCTCCAGCAACCAGACAGGCAGCATGATCCCCACGGGAGCAGGGAATGAGCCGGTACTTTGGCACAGCCCTCCCAGAAGTGGTTGGCAGCACATTCCCTTCGCATTCCCAGCCTCCTTCCCCCTCTCTTCCAACCTCTCTTCCCTTCCCTTTATGTAAATGGAAAATAACAATTAGTTTATTTTTGCTTGTGCAAATTACAGCTCCCAGGGAGCCGCCAGCTGCCAGGGCTGTGCTGGAGCTGCGCTCCAGCCTCGGCCTTTTCTATGAATAAATAACCTGGTGGGGGTGGGAAGATGCTCCCTCTGCTTTCCCTCCCCTCTCATCCATGGAAAGGAAGGATTGGAGAGGGGGTGAAAACCCAAGGAACTTTTGGGTTTTATGGTGTGGGTAATTAAACACTGAGCTGATCATTTAATTGGGAGCTTGGCAAGGAGGGATACGGAGTTGTGGGAACGGGGAGGGGAACAGGAACATTCCCAGGCATTGGGGGTGGTGACTCCAAGGAAAGCCGCACTTCACCTCTGGATCTGAGGACTGATGCTATCCTGGGATGTTTCCCACTTGGCAGTGGAGCTGTTTTCCCTGCACACACATGGATGTGCATCCTGCATCCCACAGCTTGCATTCCATATCCCACCTACTTTATCCCACCACCTGCACACACACAGGCAGCGATGGGAATGAGTTGGGATTGCTGGGATTTGCCAGTGTTGCATCCTTGATGGAGTTTTTCTTGTCAGGGAAGGGTGGGCTGGGCAGTGCCAGGCTCCTTCTTGATCCTGGTAATCCAGAGCTTCCCTTTCCTCCTGGATCAAGGGGCAGTGACAACCAGCACTCAGCCTGCTGCTGGGAGCACCCTGTATCCCACATTCCATATCCCATCTCCTGTGCCCCATATCCTGCATCCCAATCCTCATATCCTGTTTGTCATGTCCTTTATCCCACATCCCACGTCCAATATTCTCCATCCTTGCATCTGGTACCCTATATCCCACTGTCTGCATCTCACACACAATGTCCTGTATCCTTGCATCCTGCATCCCATATTGTCCATCCCAATACCTGCATCCCACATCCCACCTCCTCCATCCCCCTACCTACATCTCACATCCAAGGTCCTGTATCCTCATACCTGACATCCCACATCCTAAATCCTCCATCCCACTTCCTGCATCCCATATCCTGAATCCCACTACCTCCATCCCACATCTGCTGTATCTGTGCATCCTGCATCCCACCTCCTGCATCCCATATTCTTCCTCCTGCATTCCACACTCATATTCCAGATCCAGCTACCTGCATCCCAATTCCCACAGCAGCAGCAGCCCTGGGTGACACAAACCCACCCAAACCTAAGGTATTTGGGATAAAATCCCAGCTGTGGTCCCATACACGTTATGCAGGGGGGTTTTCCATGTCCTGGATTTCGGGAAGGACCTCACTTCCTGCTGAGTTTAGGGATGACAGCAGTAGAACTGGAATGCGCTGGCTGGGGAAAGGCAGAGAGCTGGAAAAAAATCCAGCCTTCAGGATGAGCTGTGCAGCACCAAAGCCATGATGCCATGGCAGAGCTCTCTTCTACCAAGATGATAAACGGAGATAAATTTATTTTATATAAGTAACTGTTTATATAACATGGGCAGGGCAGTGTTTGTGTCCCAGGGATGCGGGAATATTGAGGAGGCAGCCAGGCAGGGAGTATGGAAAGGAGGGAATGTGCAAAAATCCAGCTCTGGCTGAGCCAGAATATAAAGATTCACTCGAGCCAAAAATTCCAGCTCCAAAGCGAGCCCAGGCTCTGCTCACAGTGGCTCAGCCCTGAGCTTGGAGCCAAATCTAAGATTTTCTTTTGTCCAGGATTAATTTGGCTGAGATTTGAACAAATTCCTGCTTTTTAAATGAACAGTACCCCAAATTCCTCCATGCCCAGCAGCCCAAACCTGCTTCCACCCCAGGACTGAGCTCCAGGACTGGAGTTCTCACCTTACAGAGACGTCAGGATTTGCGAGATGTCAGGATTTGTACAGAACACCGGAGTGGTTTTGGAACAAAGCTGTGGGGTGGGAGCATCAATAACTGAGGAGGAAGGAGTGAGGGACGCTGTGAAGATGCCGCATTGATCGTCTTCTTGTGGTTTTCTGTCCTTTCAATCCCAGTAATTCCTGCTTGGGGGTGGCACAGAGCACCCTGCACCGCTTCAAGGGGACTTTGCCAGGGGCTCTGACCGAGCCCAAGCATCCAAGGATAAGGTGCTCCAGGGTACTGCTGTGTTTGGGGGCGAACATCCCCCCAAATCACCCCTCTGCCCCATGGAAAACCCACGGGCTGGGAAGCTGGAGGAATTCCAGCCATTTCCCAGCTCAGCAATGCCCATGAGGCCTTCAAGGAGCAAGTAAAGCTCAGAAATGGGGTTAAGGAGCTCTGCAGGAGTGGGACACGAAGAGGAGCCCCAGGGTTTGTCCCCATCCCAAGTGCCAGGCAGCCCTTGGAGCATCCTTTTGGATTGGGCTGCTGTTTTCCCCCCTGGAAAAGGCTGAGGATGGAGCTGAGGATGCAGGAGATGCCCAGGATGAGCAGAAGAACTGCAGATCCTCACAGGAGGGAGGGTGTGGTGTCCCAAGGTCCTGCTGCAACCCCATGCAGACCCCAAAAATCTGCAGGAAGATGGAGAAGGAGGCTCCAGCCCTGCTCAGGGATCAGGAAAAATGAGGGAAAAGCTTTGAAACCAGGTCAGCGTGACCCCAAAACGCCACACGTCCTCCTGCAGCAAACGCGGTGGCACCTGCGGATATCCGCAGTCCTGCGGCACACGGCTGACACACGATCCTGTCCCGCCACATCCCCACCCCAAAATGTGTGCCAACACACTTGGAATGCACACACATGTTCCTGAAAACATTGCAGCCATCCCAAAAAATGCTGCAAACCCAAGCAGGGACCACCCAGACACCCCCCAGAGCCCAGGGTGCAGGTTCAGCCCCAAAAAGGAGACAAGTCATAAACCAGCCAAATTTAGGCTTAAACCACTTTAGTTTTTATTATTTATTCAGCAAAGCCTAATCCCAGAAAGCCAGGAGCTTCAGAAGCACAGAGAAAGTCAAGGAGATGGGGCAGAATGGTGCAATTCCACCCTCAATCTCCCAAAAAACTGTGGGTTGGGGTCCCCTGTGGAGGAGCAGCATTAATGAGTGGCAGCAAGACTCTGTGTCCTGCTCCAGCTATTAGGGAGTTTCAAGGAGGGTTTGGGGAAAAAAAAAAAATCAGCCAGGAACTAAAAAAATAAATCACAGTGGTGCAAGGAATTGGGGATCCCTTCAGGAAAAAGAGGAAGGGATAATGCCTGGATTGCCAAAATAATCTGGGATCTCTCCCAGGCTGTTGCACCCCAAAATAAAACCAAAAGGAGAGGGCAAGGGGGAAATTTGGGAATCCTAAATTGCTGCCTTCGCTCTGCCATGGAAGTGGGGAAAGGATCCCGGAGCAGGAGACGATCACAGTCACCTCACGGGCACCGTGCTGGGTCCTGGGGTGACACCCATGCGCTCCCACAAAACCCCACACAGCCCCCAAAGCCAGCTCTGCTTTCCCAACCAGCCCCAGCACAGGTGGAAAAAGGTGCAGTGACCCCCAGGATGTGCCCACGGGGAATGTGGATCACGGGAAGATCCAGGAGTTGGGGACTGAGATCCCCAGGCTGGTTTGGGGAAGGTACCAGCCCCAAATGCCTTTTTCTCCCCAAATTCTTATTTGATCATGACAAGGCAGATGGATGTGATCTCCTTAAAAAAAAAAAAAAATGTGCCAAGAGAAAGGGATATTGGGAAGAAAATTAGGGAATAACCCACCAGGAAGCTGTGATTCACCTCCAAAAATTTCGAGGATGCGATGTCCCGCGAGCAGCTGCACGGGTTAATTTATTTAGAGCCAGGTTTGCGAAGTTTCCCTGGATCTAAATAAATACAAGAATAAGGGGTGAATCCTCCCACCTTCCAAACCCCCCTTTTTGTCCAGCCCTGGGACAAATGTCCCTCTTTGCATCCCAGCTCCCATCCCAAAATCCAAGTCCGATATTGAGCCGAGCTCAGGCTGCTCAAAAACCCTCAGGTCACGCAAGACACCAAAAAAAGCTGGAAAAAGATGAAGAAAAAGGGGAATAAAGTTTGGGGGTGCAGAAAAGGCAAGAGCAGAGGGTCGTGGAGTCACAGGCACCCCACAAATCCCAGGAAAAGCCTGGGGGTTACATGAGCACGGCAGAGATTTATGGAAGCGGCAAGAGGGGAACGCACCACAGCTTGGGGATCTGCCACAGCTAAACCTGGGCAAAAATACAGGACAGAAAATGCACCTAAATACTAAAAAAATCACATAAAATGCACAAAAAATATGTTGGACCAAGAGTTGTGTTGGAATTTGTGCCGCTGAGTCTGGGAAAAGCTGCAGCCGTGCTTGGGGTTTGTGGTAAAGGGAGAAATATCCTTAAAAACAGTCCCAAAAACCCCCAAAATCTCAGTAAAATTCCAGCCCAAAAGCTTGGATTAGGGAAGGTGTAGGCTTGGTTTGTTAAGGGGTCCTTTTTTTACTTAAAAATTCAAGAGGGAGAAGCCGAAAGAGGAAAGAAAAATAATTTATTACCGTTGAAAATCAAGCCAGCGGCTCATCGGGATGGTGTCGGACAAGCTGGAACCAAACTGGATCCGGTGACTTTCCAGCAGCTGCAGGGATGAAGGTCTCCAGGACCCTCCAGCCAGGAAAAGAAAACCAAAAACACCCAGAACCCGGCTGAAAAAAAAACAAAACAAACCACAAGAAAAAAAAAAAGGCAGGAAAAGTGAAAAGCCAGAGTTCAATGGGGCAGAGGCGACACTCAACACCGGACTTATCTCAGCGGGAGCTTGGGGAATGTTTTGCATCAGCACCGGGAATCGAAGGGAAGAATAAACAACCCCCAAACAAAACCCCGATGCTACGGGACCGCCCAAAAGTTGAGAGAAAACCCGACCCAGGCTCTAGTTGAATATAAGTTTTTATCTTGATGCAACATCGTTAAAACCGTCACAAATCGAAACAACAGGTCGTTAAAAACACTTCGCACGATCAGTCCCTAAAATGCACCAGGCTCCCAAGCTCGCTTTGTCCGCAGGACCCTTTTGTTTCCCCCCCAAAAATTTGTTTTTTAATTTTTTTCTCCTTTTTTAAATAAGCAACTCGTTAAAAAACAAACAAACCCTCCCCGCTCCTCCGCGCAGGATCGGTCCCGCTTTCGCTCCAACGATTGCACGAATTCTTAATCCTCTTTTTTTCTCTCGTTTCCACAACAAATAATGTGCATTTTCTTGCCGTCTGTTTTTGTTTTTGTTTTTTTCTCCAAACATCGAGGTTAAAATAAGATTTTTCCGTTTCCCGAGGGTTAATAAATAAATCTGGTGCATAGTGAGATAGCAGCCAACCGTTTGCAGTCCATATATTACTATATTGCCTTTCAGGTCACCCTAAAATTGTTACCTCTTCCCCTCCCTCCCCTCCCCACTATTTTTAAGAGCATAGATAATTTTAAATCTCTATAAAACAGTATTATTTCACCCAATCGATTCCTGTATATAGTGCATTCGGCTTCTTCCCAACATCGTTAAATTAACTCGGATATTATTTGCATGCTATTACATACAAACTTTTAAGACTCGTGTATTTTTTTTTCTCTTTTCTAAAGGATTTTAGGGTTTTTTTGTTGGTTTTTCTTTTTTTTGTTCGTTTTCTTTTTCTCGTAAATCACCAAGCAAAATATAGGCTCAAGGAAAAATAAAAAGAAAAGAAAAAAAAAAAAAAGGCAAAAACGAACTAATTTTCTACATATTTACAAGGGTGAATAAGTTAAATGTGGCTCAGGTTTGCCAGCCGGGAATGGGGGGTGAGCGGAGGGGTCGGGCAGGGCGCAGCGCTGCCGGGGACCCCCCCGGCCGATCAGTGGGGATCCCTCGAAGAATAAAAATCCCAATGGAGGGGAAAACCCGCAGGAAAAGGTGGGGAGAAGCCACCTGGATGGCGCTGATGCTCCCGGGAAGGGGGGCGGGTGGCCGTACACGTCCCGCATGCAGGGCTGCCCCCCACTCCCCCACCCCGGGACCCCCCACCCCGAGTCCCGATGGGTGGGTGCGTGGTAGGAGGGAGTTCAACTTCCCCTCCCCAAAATTTCAGTGGGGACTTTTCAGAATATTATTTTTTTTCCTTTTTTTTTTTTTTTTTAATATAAGCGGCGGGTTTGCTCTCCCCGCATGAGGAAAAAACCAAAAAGGGGGATCCCACCCCATCCCACCAGCCCGGCTCACATGAAGAAGTCAGCGGTGGCTTTCGGGGCGGCGGATGGGGAGGGCTCCCTCGGGAAGCCCCGGCCGGCCAACTTCTCATATTTTTCTTTGTACAGATCCCTTTCCTTGGCCAAGCGGGTCACCTCCTGCTTGAGCTGCTCCACCTGGCTCTGCAGTTGGCATTTCTCGTTCTCCAAGATGTGCCTTTGCTGGACCCGCTTGTAGCGGCAGGATTGAGCGTAGCCTCGGTTCTTCAAGGTCCTCCTCTTCTGCTTGAGACGAATCACCTCCTCCTTGCTGAAGCCCCGCAGCTGCCGGTTCAGCTCCCGCACGGACATACTCACCAGCTGATCGTCGGAGAACCGGTCCTCCAGGCGTAGGTGGTGATGATGATGGTGGTGATGGCCGGGATGGTGATGGGCGGCCGGCGGCAGCTCCTCACCCCCGAAGGGTTGAGGTCGGAAGGGCTCGTACCCTTGGTGGTGATGATGATGATGGTGAGGGGCACCGATCAACGCCTCCACCGCGTCCTCCGGCGTCAGGTTGAGAGCTTCGGGGTTGAGGTGATGCTGGTAACCCGACATCCAGTACAGCTCCTCCAGCTGCTGTTTGGAGCCCAGGGAAGCGGCGGTGGTAGCCGGGGGGCCGGGGGCCGGTTGCCCACCGGGGCTGGGAGCGCAGAAGCTGGGCGAGGAAGGCACGGAGGAGCAGGGCGTGCTGAGCGGGGTGGACGACAGGGACCCGGCGGGCAGGCGGTGGCACAGCCGCTCCGCCTCCGCCGGCTCCTTCTTCACCTCGAACTTCATCAGGTCGAAATCGTTCACGTACTCGATGGCGAGGGGGCTCGTGGGCAGCTCCGCGCTCATGGCCAGCTCCGAGGCCATCTCAGTCCATGTGGAGGGACCGGGGGGGAAGCCCCCGGATACCGCCGCTCACCGAGGGTCCCGCGGGCTCCGGGAACCTCCTCCGAGCGGACTCCGGCGCAAGCGGCTGCCCAGACCGGACTCTGGGACCCTCCGATGCGGCTTTGCCGTGGGGTTCAGCGGGGCTCCGGGACCCTCGGACTGCGATCTGCTGCCGGGCTCCGGGACCCTCCGGCGGGGCTCCGCTGTGGGGCTCAGCCGGGCTCCGGGAACTCCCGACGGGACTTCGCGGTGGGATTCAGCCGCGTTACGGGACCTTCTGACGGGGCTCTGCGGTGGCGTTCAGCGGGGCTCCGGGACGCTCCCACCGGGATTCGCTGCAGGGCTCCGGGACGTTCCGATGGGACTTTGCGGGGAGGTTCAGCGGCGTCCGAGATGGGGCTCTGTTGCGGGGCTCAGCCGGGCTCCGGGACCCTCTGCTGAGGGGCTCAGCCGGGCTCCGGGACCCTCTGTTGCGGGGCTCAGCCGGGCTCCGGGACCCTCTGCTGCGGGGCTCAGCCGGGCTCCGGTGCTCGCCTCCGCCGGGACTTTGCGGTGCGCTTCAGCCGGGCTCCGGCACGGGGCTCCGGGACCCCCAGCCGGGGCTCCGCTGCGGGTTGCGGGGCAGCCACCTCTCTCCGTCGGGGCTCCGCTCCGCAGCCGGGCTCTGCTGCTGGGCTCCGCTCCGCAGCCGGGCTCCGGGACCCTCCTCCGGCCGCCACGGCTCTGCGCTCGGGCCGGGCGGGCTCCGCCGCTGCCTGCGGCCGGTTCCCAATGGCGAGGAGCGGGCAGCGCCCTGCCCGCCCCTTCCTGCCTCCCCTGGCACCTGCCCCGGCCCCACCTCCCCGGGCTCCGAGCCTTCTCCTGCCTCCTCCTGCTCCCGCCGGGACACGGCGCCCTGGGGGCGGGGGCCGCTCCCCTGCCCGCCCCTACCCGCGACCGGCGCCGCCGCCGCCGGGAGCTCAATGGAACTCGTCGCCTTTTATACGGGGAAAGGGAGGCACGGCCCCTCCCACTGGGGCGAGGCTAAGTCCTTCCAGCCTATCAGCACCCCGACAGCCCGCTTAGATTTGCATATCCCCATGGCAACGCCCCCGGGCAGCTGTCAATTTCGGGGGGGTGGAAATGCTCCGGGTCCCCCCCGGACCCTCTCGGCTCCCGCATCCCAACGTGGGGCTTCATCTCCCGTCCTCCGCCCTGAACTGAGCGTGGAGTGGGGAGAAACATCCTAGAAATACTAATTTCCTACTCCCCCAAAATGGGAAATACCCAAAAGGAATTCCTGAGCCTAAATGAGGTTTGGTGCCATCTCGCTGAGGGACCACAGCATCGGAATGCAGCCCCTTCCCAATCTCAGGAATATCCCAGGATCCTTCTCGGACCACTTCCATCCTTGTAGAAAGTCAAATAAATAAAATTTTGTGGATTTTTCGGGATTTTCCATAAACTGTTGGCGATCAGGGAGCAGCCACGTGCACCTCTGTGCTCCAGCGCTGCCTCTGGTTTAGGAGGTGGCATCGCACCTAGCACAGGTGACATCCACACCTGACACATGAAGGGGAATATCACCAGATGGAGGAGCAGGATTGGCATCCCAGCACCTGGAAAAGCTCTCACTGGCACCCAGAGGAAGCTGGTCAGGGGGTTTTGGGGGTGCTCATGCCACCCCTGGGTGAGGCCCTGGCTGGGATGTGGCTGTGCTGCTCCATCTGCAACCTCACGGCTGCTGCAGCCTGGGAGGAACAGGACTGGGAAACTGAGGCACTGGGCAGTCACCATGGAGTGATCCCACCTAATCCCAAGGGATGAGCAGGTTCATCCCACAGAGGCTGGCAACACCCACCCACTCATCCCCTTGGGGTCCAGGATTGTCTGTGTCACACGCAGGATGAATCCTGGGTCCCACTGCATCCCAACCCAGCTGCATCCCACCCTACTGCATTCCACAGGATGTGGGGGGGTGACGTTCCCCTCATGAAGTTAATGGCTGCTTGGGGACTTGGGGACAGGGGACACTGCTCTCCATGGCTGCTAACTGGCCCTTCAGATGTAGGGTCAAATTAATGCAAAAAAGGTGTTTTGTGAGGATGAAAACATTTATCCCATTGCAACCCCAGCAATTAAAATCCCCCATTATTGCTTTTGCTGGATCTGGCCTCTGGGGAGAGTCCATCTTTCTGCTGCTAATTGAGTCAGGGGAAGGGGGCATTTATTCCCCTTGGGAAGGGTCATGGATGCAGGCAAAGCTCTAAACACAACCTCCATTCCCTGCTGATCCTGGATGTTATCCCATATTGGACACAGATATCCCATTTTGGAGACCCCAAACTTGGGCACGACTTGAGGGAGGGGGCAAAGAAGTGGACAAAAAAAAAAAAAACACACCCTTTTTGTGGGGGTGGTTTTAATCCTTTTGGCTTCATTGTGTCACCCTAAATCCATCATCATCCCACCTGTGTAGTGGGACACCGGGATTCCACACCGGAAAAAGATGGGGTGCCACCTCCTTTCCCCTGGCACCACGTTCCTCCCCGGAGCTGCTCCACCTTGGGGGCACCAGCAGCTGCCACCAGCGCTGGGACAGGAGCCACCAAGGGATTAGGAGCGGGCCGGGCTCCAATGGGGCCGTGGCTCCCCAGCGACACCCCCGGGGGTATTTTTAGGAAATGCCCATGGCATGTCCCCAACCCTCCCCGCCGTGCCGGGCCCATCAGCTAAGTTTACTCACAGGCGGTCAAGTGACATAACCAGGTTGGTGGCCTCGGGATGGTGGCAGGATGGCGTCACCTTTCACTTTTAGAGCTCGTGTGCCCCATCACCCCTTGGAGCAGGGCCGGGTGCCCACCTGGGGCTGCCTCAGTTTCCCTGGATGGCACACGGCTCCCAGTTGGGGTGTTGGTGGCCTGGGGACAGGGACATCACCCCACAGGAGCGTGGTGTCCACCCCACAGAAAGAGAGTGGGACCATCTCAGTGATGCTCCACCAGCATCTGCCCCACAAACCAGCGTTGCTGCAGGGCCAGGAATTTTGGGGTGGGGCAGGGGAGGGGTGAAATCATATGGAGAGGCTGGAAGGAGGACGAGGCTGAGGAGGAGAAGGCGGAGGAGGAGGAGGGCAGGGAACAGCCACCCCGATGACAGGCAGAAAACTGATCCCGGCGGGTGACGTTCACCCGGCACCTGCTTCCCCGGCAGGGGACCAAAAGCGCTGCCAGCAGCACCCGCCGCAGGAAGGTTTTTCCAGGAAATGTTTACGGAGCCCTCCAGAAACTCCACCCTGTGCCAACCACCCAGTCGTGGCACCCCCAAGGAATGTCCTTGGCGGGTCCCCGAGCCCAACAGCGCACCCCGGCTTCACAGCGAGGATGGATAAATCCCATCGGAGCTCATTGCTGAGGAATTGAGGATGTTGGAGACAGGGAGAACCCACTGGAGTTCAGTGACACCTCTCCAGGGGCTGCGTTTATCCCTGCTTGGAAATTAATCACCCCCGTGGGCGGCGGCTCGGAGCGGAGCTGCTCATTGCCTCGTTTAATTAGTGCTGCACAAGGATTATCCTCGTCAGGGATCCACGGAAAACCAAAGTTTCCGGCCACCACTGGCCATCCCTGAGGATTCACAGCAGCACCGTCTCCTCCAGGGTGGTTTTGGGGTAATTTCGTTGGAGTTTTTTTAGGAAACCACCACGTGAAGAAATATCATTTCTGGGTGAAAAGTTTAAGTAATTAAAAACAAGGATTTAGGGATCAGAGTGACTCCTCCACTGGATTTGGATGGATATTTGATGGGATGTTCATGCACTGCTGAAAAAAGAGGAAAGCCACAGGGAGGCTCCTCCATCCCAGGGGAGGAAACTTTTATTTACATATCAAAACACAGGAGTTAACAAAAGACATTTTCATATCAACAGAAACCACAACTTTTTTATTAAAAATCAACTCATTGGACACACTCTGGGGCACAAGTGATATCCCAGGGTGGGGACCTGCTGGTCCTCCAGCGCCTGGGGGATGCTGTGGATTTGGGATGGTGACTAACCCCCTCCAGGGGGTCACTTGTGGAAGGGAACCCCCCTGTGGGGACCTGTTTGGGGGTCGAAGCCATGCCCATTGGCATCTCCCACCCCATCTCTGATCACACCTGGATACTGCATCCCCAGGGAGCCCCAGTTCTTCCCAAATCCCTCTGATGCTTTTTCCCCACAGATTTTGCCTGAGGGGCTGTGGATGAGCAAATCCCACAAAATTGCATCCGTGTGGGGGAACAGCACCTGCCAGTCCAAAATCCCTTGGAAATTGTACCCATGGATGGAAAACCCCATTGTTCCAGTGGCATAATGCTCTCCCTTCACTCTGATTCTGCTTGGATTCGGAGAGTCCCAAAAAACCCCAAACCCTGGAGAGTTGGCTTGGCTTTTCCAACGAAGCCCAAAGCCCCGCTGGGATAGGGAGAGGTGGGGGTCAGGTGCAACTGGGCCATGGGAGACCCCAAAATGCAGAGTGTGATTTGAGCACCGCTCCCAACACATTCCCATGAGAGATGCTCTCAGCTCCAGGAAATCTCCTCCCAAAAGTAAGGGGGATTGGAGTGGGATGGGCTCTCGGAATGGTGGGATCAGGGCTGTGGGGGCTTTACACCAATTACATCCCAGCACAGTGACTTGTCCCCAGTACATCCCGACCTGGATGTGGGAATGTCACCTGATGGCATTAAACCACCTCAGGTCCCCCCATCACCTTGTGGCCAGGACTTGCCTTCAACAAACCAGCTGGAAAGGTCGTTTACTGGTCAATTCCAAGATTCCAAGCAAAGCTGCTTCCCTGCAGGAACGAGCGGTGCATTCCTACGCTGCCACACAATTCCGTGTCCAAATGACATCCCTGGAAAGCAAGAGGAGGAGGGGGGTGCCATGTCTGGACATGGCATCCTGAGGTAGGTGCCAGGTCGTTCCCTGGCTCTCCGGTTCCTGAGCTGGTCGGCTGCCACAGGATTGGGATGGGCTCATAGCCGGGGCTTGATCTGCAGCTGTTTTCCTGGAGAGAAGGAATGGAATGGTGAGGGTGGGAAGGAGGGGGACACAGCTGGATATTCCCAGGCTTCTCCTTGTCTGGTCATGGGAGGGGGTTAAAGCACTGGGAAATGGGGAATGTGGGTGGTTCTGGCAGCACCCACTGGACTCACCTCTGCCACCCATAAGGGAGTCCTCGGAATCCTGAAGGGATGTCCTTGGCAAAATCCTTCTCCTTTTGGTGTTGCCTGGGAAGGAAAGGAAGAAAAGAGGAGAAAGTCATTGAGGTTGGCTCAGGTAACCTTGGGAATCCCTTGGAATGCAGGTGTAGGAGCGTCCTAAGTTCCTCTTCTGCTTCACATCCCCCTTGGCCATGTCAAGGATGGAGGTGGCTCATTCCCTAAATCCCTGAGCATCCTCATCTCCCTACAAGTGGCACTCAGAGGTCGCCTCCCACCATGGAACAGCGAATCCACTGCAAAATTCCCAAGCTGTGGGTGAGAAAGAGAATTAGAAAGGATCCAGATCTTCCCACCGGTGAACATCAGGTCCTGCTTTGGTGCTGGGATGGAGCCAGAAAGAGCCGAGCACCAGCAATCATCCCCCTCAAGCATTCCCAGCATCCCTTTAGGATACTCCAGGTGATGTCTTCTGCTTGGCTGGAACATGGTGCATCCTCCAAAGAGGGTTCTGGATGTTCATGCAGAGCCAAACCACCATGGAGTGCCTCTGGGAGGTGACCTCCTTGTAGGACATGTCCAGCATCGTCCCATGGACCAAAGTGGACAGAGTGAAATCTTTCTCCGTTTCTCCCACAATGTTGGGAGTGCCTTTCTACAGGTTCTCCTATTTTCCTTCTCCAAAGGGTTTGGAGAGGTATTTATGGGGTTCCACATACCAGAGTGATGGGTGGGAAGTAAAGTAGTGGCCACTTGGCCACCAAGATGAATGAGGATGGAAAAAAGCGGAGGTTTCCCAGGGAAAAAAGGACCCACAGGTTTAGTGGGAAAAGTTCCCCTTCACTTGGGATTAACGGAGGTGGAGAAGATAATGGAAAAGATGGAGGGAATCCAGCCCAACCCCTCTCCAGATATCCTGTTGCCTGTGTCCCCGCAAAATTCTGCATGGCACTTCCCAAACGATGAACCCAACATGGAGGTGGGACAAAGGACACCTTCAAGCAGCCTTGAGAGCCCAAAGGAGAAAGTTTTTGGGACGGGGGAGGCAGGACAGGTGAGGACCTAACAAATGGGGAGTCTCCCAAGAGTTTTCCTTCGCTTTCCAAATTGGATAAACAAACTTGCTGGGAGTCGAAGCCGCGCTGGCAGTGATTCATCGCTCCGGAGTTAATTTATGGAAAATAAAGAGGGCTCATTTAGCACCTTTCCACCCTTAATATAACTCCCATACATCAGCGGGATGCACGGCAGACACGGTGGATCTGGATATTCCTCACCGGCAACACAGCCGAATCCGGCTTTTAGGAACGGTGACAGGGAGCGAAACACCCTTGCGTCCCCATTCCTGATTTTTCCCTTTGGCATCCAGCCAGGTGGTTTATCCAGCCCGGGATCTGTGAATCCCAGCGTGGTTTCTGGAATGAGGGTCCAGAGCTGCTGGTTGTCACCTCAAAGGGTTCAAAATCAGCATCTCCACGTTCCTGCCCCATGGTGTGAGTTCAATAGGAATGGTGGGAATGGCTCAGTTCCCTTTGGATGAGCCACAGAAAATTTCCTTAGTCGATATCCTTGAGGCAGCTCAAATTCTGATTACAGAAGTAGAAATATGGATTTATTTTTTGGGGAGAAAAAGAAAAAAGGTGATTTTTAAATCAACCGTAATTAACTTCCTGCCTTTGGTACAGAGCACACAGAGCCAAGATACTTCCAGAGCACCCATGCTTGATTTCCAACAGATTCCTCACAAAAATCAAAGCGGGAATGAGAAAATAAACCCAAAATAGGTCATGAGAGGGCTAAACTGGTTCAGTTTCTCCCCTTGGATGGAAGGAGATGGAGGAAGGATGGCGCAGCCAAGGGGTGAACACCACATCCCAAAAAACCGCAGGAGGGAAAACCTGGACCAAACAGGGGTGTCACTCCACCCAACCCTGGCAAAGGAAAAGATATTTTTCCAGTTTTGTGCTTGGGAGATCCTGCAAATGGCGTGATCAATCTTGGGTCGCATCTCCAGCTCCTTCACTCTCTCCCCCCGCTGCCTTTCCCGGCATTCCGGGAGCGGCGCAATCCATCTTCCAAGGAACCAGGTATATAATTTCTAGTTAGCGAAAGCAACCCCTTTTTCATTCCGATGACTGAACAGCTTCAAAGGAGAAGAATCGAGGCCGGATCACCAGTTTTCCATCGAAACCCAGGCGGTTTTCGCTGAGCTTGTCAGGCTCGTCGGAGAATTAGGACTTCCAGCGCTCTTCCTCCTGATGGAAATCAACATTTATTTTGCCTAAGCCTAAGAAGGTGTCAGGCAGACGGAGAAACTTGCCACTCTTCTCCAGGAAAAAAGAGGGAAAAGAAGGAAATCTAATAGAAATATATTATCAAGTCTGAGGAGTGGACAGTGCAGTAAATCACACTTCAGGTGGCACCATTAGATTTTTCAATAAAACCTGGTTTTCCCCCAGCCAGAGCTGAATGGCTCCAGCTGCACCCGACAGGCAAGTTAAAACCAAATTTGTTTCATCCAGATGCTGATCTGAGAGGGATTGAAAGGGATTTCAAGGTGGGGAATCCTCTCTGATGAAGGGTGAAAGGAATTGGGTCTGGGCCTGGGCCCCAAATCCTCTCCCTGATCATCATTCCTGATCCCTGAGGGATTAAAAAATTTGGTTTCTCCGCAAGGTGGGGAGGTGGAAGGCAGCTGGAGATGCCCCACATCCGGGGTGAAGACTGCCAAGCCCCAAAGCAGCGGGATGCAGGGAAAGACAACTCCCTTGCAGCTTTCCAAACTTTACCATCCAGGAGGAGAAAAGCCGGAATTTTTGTCGGTTTCCTGTCCTCAACAACCTCTGGCCTGATGGAATGTTTGGTCTCCATTGTTCTGATGCCACCAATGGGTTTCATCCTGTCCTGCATCTTCCTCCAGAAAGGCTCAGAGCACTGAGATGCATCCCAGCATTTCCCTGCTGGGATGCTCAAGGTTTAACACCATGAGGAGAAATTCCCTCCAAACACACTTTTCCTCCTCATTCCCAAAAGAAAAATATCCCTTAACCCTTTCCAGGATACCTTAGGGGAGTCCAGAGGCTGAATCTCTGCCTTGGAAAGGTCTTTTCCTTTCTCTGCCAAAATGCTCCTGGAGAAACTTGAGCTGGGAGATGCCTTTTTAATATTATTATTATCATTATCATTACCAATATTATTATTATTATTACTATTGTTACTATTGTTACTATTGTTATTATTATTATTAAATAAAACTCAACAACAAAAGATGGGGTGGAAAGCCCAGCACCAAGGGCTACATCCCAGAATTTTCCACAAATGGCTTTTCACATGGAAAAAGCATATGGGGAGGGCTGGATCTCCTCAGCTCCATCCTGCACTAAATCCATGTGGTGACAACCTGCACTGGAAACTCATCCTGCTGCTCTTCCACCCAAACCTTCTGCCACAGGTGGATGAGACCCTAAAAACTGAATCTAAATGCAGCCATCCCTCAAGCAGGACAACATGGATCCACTGAACTCCGGAGGCTCAAGCTGAACATCAGGAAAAATTTCTTCACGGAAAGGGTTGTCAGGCATTGGAAGGAGCTGCCCAGGGAGCTTTGGAGTCCCCATCCCTGGAGGTGTCCAAGGAATGAGTGGATGTGGCACTCAGGGCTCTGGTCTGGTGACAAGGTAGGGATTGGTCACAGCTTGGATTTGATGATCTTAAGGTCTTTTCCAACCTTAATGATTCTGTGATCCTTCAATCTCCATCCCCTACATCCACCTCTAGGCTTGGGAGACCTTCAGCCTTCAGGGTGCCACAGATGACTCAGGTGTTGTTGGAGGGTGCGGTTGGATCTCCTCATGTCTTGGTAGCTCTGAGAAGCTCCAAAAGTCAGAAACTTTGCTGGGATTTAATTTCCTCATTGCAAAGTGTCCAATTTAGGACCTGCCAAGTCTCACTCCTTTGCCAGGATGGAAAAATTTTTCTTCCATATTAATATTTTGCCCATTTTTTCATGGAATCCTAAAATGGTTTATGTTGGAAGGGACCTTATGGACCAATTCCCATGGGCAGGGACATCTTTCACTAGTCTGGGTTGCTCCAAGCCTCATTCATACTGGCCTTGAACACTTCCAGGGATGAAGCACCCACAACTTCTCTAGAAAACCTGCACCAGGGCCGCACCACCCTGGAGATGTTTGTGACCACACAGAGAAATCAATTCCCTGTATTTTATCCCCATTTCTTCCTCCTGAGAAGAACAAACTGCATCAAGTCCTGCTGGAGTCAAAGCTGACTGTGATGCCAGCTCCTGTTATCCCAGGATAAACCTCTTGTGTCCAAGCCCTCCATCCCCAACCATGCAGATGCTTCGTGGAAAGCTCCAGGGAATCTTCTGCCGCCAACTCGATTGATCAGAGGCTTGGTTGCCTCACCTGGCTGCTAAAAAAAGTTCTGGAGCAAAGATCTGGTGGCAGAAGAAGCACTGAAGGAGATGCCAAAGGCGATGAAGATCCCATGGGACCCAAATCCACAAGGAGGACGGCAGCACTGGATATCTCCTAAATTAAACTACAGTTGTCCTGTGCAGGACCAGGAGTTGGACTTGAGAGTCCCTTCTAAATTGGGATATTCTCTAATTCTCGGACTCCTGGAGCTGGGAATGGTTGGATTAAAACCTGCAAAAAAAACAACGGAGCAGTGACAGTGGCAGTTCTGTACCCTGCTGGGATCACCTCTCAAACACAGCGAGAAAAGAGGCGAAAATCCACACTCTCAAACTTATCCCTCCAGAAGCAGAAGCTGTAAACAAATCCAGAAACCGCTGCCACACCTCCCCGAATTCCTCGGAAGCCGAGGCGGTTGAGCGTGCTCAGCGGAGCCGTTAAAAAAGACTGGAGCGAGCATCTTCCATTAACGTTACGACCGTGAAATATGACAATAAAATGACGGCCGTATGGTCCCAAATTTGCAGCCCGCCGAGCTGCTCGGGGTTTATCGTCACTCAAACGTGCAGAGAGCTGTAAAATGTTTACAGAAAGGGTCGTTTGCGGCTATAAAATCCTCTTTTCTCTCCTAAACAAGGCTGAGCGGAGCCATTTACAAAGCCCGGAATGTTCATCGGGGGAGAGGGGAACATCTGTTCTCTCCAGGAGTTTGCAGTGATCTTCTCGAACAAATTAACTAAAATGGGTGCTTTCTAATTAAATTAGCACTCAATTGGAATGGTTTGCATTGGTGCAATTAGCGCGGGGAGGCCAGTTAGGCTCCAGCACAGGCGATTTAACTGGAAGGTGAAATATGGAAAAGCCCATTACCTGGAAAACAGGAGTCGGAGGGGTAGGGAAGCCTGTTCTACCTCTGGCTTCATTCTCCTGGGATAGCACAAGGTGAAGGATAGGATGCCGCCAAACCCACTCTTCCCATTTGGGATGTTCGGCTGGGAGCAGTTGGCTGTCCTCGTGCTGCAGGGATTGGCTTTTTGGAGGATGCTTGGAAAGCACCAGCGCCCTCAAATTACAGAATCCCGTAATCATTTAGGTTGGAAAAGACCTCCGAGATCAACCTTTACCCAATCACCACTTTGTCAATGAATCACTCTTCCAACTCAAATTTTCAGGCTACTTTAGAGGATTGGGAACACGACAGTGGCTCCACTCCACACACGCAGACCACATCCCTCCATTCTAGTCCCCTTTCTCTACATCCTGAGCCCCACTGAGACCCTGCAAGTTCATGCTGTTGCCCATGCTGGTCCTTAAAGGTCATCTCCAAACTCCCTCCCTGCCCTTCCTGTGTTTTTTCCCTGGTTCCTCTTGCATTTCCCAGAATTAAAAGGGCATTTTCTCCAATTGTGACCATTTAACCAAGGAATTCATCTCATTCCTTAATAACAACCTGTCCTCCTTCCTATTTACCATCCCAATAATTTGTGTGTCAACTTCAGGCTTCACAAGCACAAACTCAACGTTATGGCTGGCACAGCTCCCCAGATCCCACCCCCAAATCCCACCACAGACTCCAACTACTTCCTAGAGCTACACAAGGACTCATCCTGACCACCTGCTCAGCTCCGAACTCAGGATCACCGAATATTCTGAAGTGATACAGGAATACTGGAAGGGATCCACAAGGATCATGGAGTCCAGTCCAAGTGATGTGGCCACCAAGAAGCATTTGGTCCTTTAGAAGCCTCAATCCCATGTCCTCTCGGGGTGGTGGCCAGGGCTCCTCCTATGCCACTGCATTTGGGGGTCCCTGGGTGCTGCTGTGCCCCCAAATCCCTTGGCTGGGATTAAGATGAGACCCAAGGATGGGAAAATACATGGGTCAACATCCACATTTCCAGACTTGGCACTCCATTGCTTTTGGCAGGAAAATCATCACCAGATGATTTTACAGCCATCTGCGATTTCTGCCTGGTTTTCCTTTCCTATGGATCCTTCAGCATCTGCTTTCCCAATGCCATGAGCTTCCCTGGGCAAAGGAGCACAGAGGGATAAGTGCCCTGACCTCGTACCTGCCAGCTTCACCCAGCCTTCCTGCCAATTCCCAACTCAATTCCCAACTGAACCAGCTCCTCATCCTCCCACCCAAAACGCCTGGAAATCATCCTCCCTTGGATGCACACACTAGAATTAAAAGGAAAACGATGCCCTTGCTCTCAAGTTATTCCCAGCTGCTGAGTGTATTCCGAAGCATTTCAACAGTCTTCTTGTCCATTAATTAATTGTTCCAACTTCATCATGGAGATAAAAATCCTGGTTAAATCACTGCTTTGGGAACACTCCCCAAGATCAAAAGGGACCTGAACCAGGGCCAAGGAAAAGGAAGGAGGGGAGAAGAAATCTCTGGAAAGGGAAGCTGAGTGTTTCAGTGTTGTCGAGAGGAGCATTCCCAGCCAGAATGGTCCCCTCGCTGTGTCCACCACACCGTGGTTCAACAGCACGCGCGCTCGTCTGTGACTTCGGGAATATGTTGTTAATCCCGGGAATTCTCTTTCCGACAGCGTTAAGGCATCTCAGCCCTCCCTGGCTTGAAGCCACTGAGCCAGGCACAGCCTTGCAGATCCTTATGGATGATCCTGTAAATGCTTCAGTTTGGCTTTTGCAATGGAATTCATCCCTCATCCCAGTGGGATGCAGCTCAAGCTGCATGGAAAGCAGGGATCAAAAATGGGAAGGGCTCACACTTAGCCAAATCTTGTGCCGGAAAAGCTGGCAATGGGAATTTAATTTTAATTCCCACAAAATATTGTGATTTCTGAGCCCATTCTTGGATGGTCCTCCGGAGATGAGGCTGCGCGTCCCTCTGGAGAAGGATGGGTGAGGAAGAGGGAAGTGTGGATCATCATCCAGCCAAAAACCTCCCACCCAGAGCTGGGAAGAACCAGGCACAATCCCAGCCTCACCATCTCTATCACCTCTGCTCCTGGAGATACATCCCTGAAGCACCCCAAAATCCCATCCTTTTAGGGATTTTCCCATGGAGGAGGTGAATGAGGAGAGGAGGAACCAAGGAGAACACTGGAGAAGCTGCTTGCTCTCACGTGTCAGAATTCCTTAAAAGTTCTGCTCATCCTAAACCACATTTTCCACAAATTTTACTGACTTCCAAAGTAGATAATCCCAGACTAACTGCTCTTCCTTCAAACTTCCAACCTGCAAACACTCCACCCCACCTCCCACTGGAATGATTTTATTGTAAAGCTTCCAAGCTATTACCTGCTGGGAAAAAGGTGTGATGGATGGTCCAGAGGTTCTCCAGAGGCAGAGCATCCTTGCATCCCACTAAACACCTTCCCTATAGGGCAGTTCTGTGATTCCATCATGGAAATGACACCAGATTCATCACTGGATAATTTACAGGATAAGGAAGTTGATAAAATAAGGGGACAAAGTCCTCACATACAGTTTTGGGAACAGACACAAGGATTTGTGCCCAGATGGGAATCCCGACTGCCATCCCAGTTTGGACTCCCAGTCTTAACTGGTTTGGAGACTCACAAGGAACATGTATCCCACCAAAACCCATGGAGAGCAGCAGAGAACCACTTTTTTTCTTGGAAAACCAGAGCAGCTCCAAGCTCCAAGCTCCAAGGAGAGAGGATGTGATTCCTACCTGTTTCATCCTCTGGCTCATCCTCATCCCTCTCCTCTTTGCAGCCCAGGGAACCAGGAGATTCTGGGGATCGGAGGGAGATGAAGGATGGCAGCTTTTGTAGGCAGCTGCTTGGCTTGGAGTCCTCCTCTTTCCACAACTTCACCTCTTGCTCCGCACCAGAGGGTCCAGGAATTTCTCCATCATCCTGGAGCTGAGCTGGATCATTCCTGCAGGAATGGGAAAAATAATAAGGAAAAGTGAAACAATCCCACTTGGCAACGCTGGACATGGCATCATAAGCAATGGAAGAGGCTTGGAGCTCCCAGGCAGGTCTCCACCCAAGGCCATGGTGTATCCCTGATTTCCCTGGAGCCAGCACAGATTCAGCTGGAGTTTCTCCCTCCCCAGCTGTATTCCCTGTGCTGCACTTCCCTGCAAGGTTCCCAGCTCCCCAGATTCTTTTGGAGGTGTTGGGCTCCTGTTTGCGATCGAGCAGAGGGAAGAGGAGATGGAGGGTGTGGGGATTTGGGAAGGCTTCGAGATGTCCTGCTGGGCTTGGCTCATTCCCAGCCCTGCCACTCTCTTCCAAGCTAACTTGACACTCCAGCTCCCTTGACATCTCCCACGACGGTGCCAATAAAGGAAAAAAAAACCTTCTGGAGCAGCTTCCAAGCTGGGGCGTGCTCCCTTCCCAGCGAAGGATGCCAGGAGCCTCCCAACCAGCCAGGCCTGCGCTCATTCCTCCTTCCCTAAAAAGAGCAAGGAGCTATTTTACACCTCGTTCACACCGGGAACGCGAGCTGGGTGTCATTCCAAGGCTCTTCTGTCACCCAGGATAAGTTCGGAGAACCCGCGGAGCTGCTCGTCCCCCTCTGCTACCTTACAAGGCAGGACCAGGATGAGGCCTAGGCCCAGACCATGGAGGATTCCAGGAGCATGGACCAGCCTGGCAAAGCTCCCAGGTCCTTCCCTTTCCATCCCACCTTCACTCCCACCTCCCACTGCAAAAAGCCACGGAGAAGCCGAGCACCCAAATCAATCCTTCCTCCTCCCACTAAGGAGGACTTGGAGATTTTGGCTTTTAAAGCCAAATTTCCATCTGGCTTTAGTTTTAATTCCATTGGGATGTAGTTGTCCTGCATGCAGGACTTGGGAGTGAGGTCAGAGGATATGCCAAGCTCAGGAAAATCCATCTCCCTGTGAGGATGATGACTGACACATCCATCATCAGCCTGTGGCTACATCCCAGCACCCAAAAACATCAGGGAGAGCTCAGGGAGCTTCCAAGGATTAACCAAGGTTCCAGTCCAGCACTAAACTTTTCCAAAGCCTCTTATCCATGTCCACCCCCATTTCTGATTCTCCAGCCCCTCCATGCCATGGAGAGGGCTCAGCTCTGCTTTTCAACATGGACATAAGGAAGAGGGATGATGTTTTACAGTTTCCCACATAACTATGGATAACCTGGACCCATTTTCAGCAGTGGAATCTCTGTCAGAGCTCCTCCATCTCCAAGAGGAAGGTCTACAAAAGCCTCAAAGATACCTGGAGGTGCTAAAGTCCTGGATGGCACATTCCTAAGGGTGAATCCACTCTTTCCATCAGCTCTTCCTCAAGCATGGACACTGCCCATCCCAGAGGTGGCTCCATCAGGAGACACCACAGTGACCCACATCAACAACATCTTAATATAAACCAGGATACAGATGGAACACACCTGGGAGAGAAAAAAATCTGGAGCAGATTGGGAAGAAAACTGTTAAATGAAGCAAAATCAGCTCCTTCCTACCTGTCCAATGTCTCCTGGATCCGTCTCCACTTGGAAGGGGGATTGCTGTGGTTGCCATCACCTCCAACCTGCTGTGAGTGACGTCTCTTCTGGGGGTGCAGGAGTTTGCACCGGGCACCCTTGGGACAGACGCCTTTCTTGGCAAAGTCGGGACAAACCAGTGTGTGCTTCTTCTTGCACTGCCAGGGAAAGAGGGAGTGGAGTTGGAAAAGGCAGGGACTTTTCCCTGTGGGAACACACAAATCCACAGCTGAGCTCCTTCAGGTGGCACCAACACCTTGCTAAAGGGAGAGAGGGATGTGTTGGTGTTTCCTTCTCTGCATAAAACAATATTACAAGAAAAAGTATTACTAAAAATAATGTTCTAGTCTGCTGCATTCAAAACTTACCCACAGTTTTCCAAGCGCTTGATTTTATGGATTCAAACCACCAAAGCCTCAGTAGCAGTGATTTACCCCTGAAGATGTCCCAAGGAGGTTATTTGGGCTGGAGAAGCTGGTTTTGGGGACGACACAGGGTTTTGTTGTCCCAGACATGCTTGGGACTTGGGAAAGAGCAGGGAAAAGCCAGAACAAAACCCTTTTAGAACTTATTTTGGGATTGCTGCATGGACCAGCCTTCTGAGGAAGATGGATGAGCTGGAGCTCAACCTGCTCTTCCCAAGGCTTGGTTGATGCTCTCCCATCCAAGGAAGCTCAGTGTGGACATGGAATGGGGCTGTTAAAACAACAGCATCGAGATGCTCATCCTAAAAATGCTCCTGCGCTCTCAGCTCCGGATTTTGGTGACTTCCAGCAGCCACCAGTGGTTCTGGTGGGAACAAGGTGTCATCAGTGTCCCAGAGCTTCCCCACAAGGCTTTCTGCTGGGAAATGGCACTTTCTGGCAGTGGAAAAGGCAGGAAGAGGTGCAGGCAGGGAAGAGGAGATGCCTTCAGCTGGGATTTTTATCTGAGCTCTTGGGAATGAAGGTGGGAGGAAGGAAAAAGAACAGCTTCTCTATAATTTCTCTTCCCAGCAATCCAGAGAGCTCATCCCAACATATCCCAAGGGATGAAGGGTTGGGAGCAGGTTCTGGACCTCTCTTAGACCCATGTGGACCCACTCCCACGCAGGATGCTCCATCCCACCCAGTTTGGCTTTTGCATCACATCGTGACATCCACGGAGAGACTCAACCCAACACACGTGGCACAACCAAAAATACCCAACTCCAACACCTATTCCCTTGTTGACTTTCTCCACAAGAAACGTGGGTTCTTCCAAACTCAGATGCCCACACATCCCACTCCTTTGTGCTACAGACACTCAAATTTTGGGGAAAATGAGATAAATCCATGGGCAGAGAAACACAGGGAAGGTTTCAGCACCACCACCATTCTGGCCTGTTTATAAAAATCCATCCTGCTGACAATGTGGGACGGAGGTCAGTTCCTGCCCTTTTAATGCAACTTTACTTTGGGGACACGGGAGCAGCTCCCCGTGCTGACCTTTGGGATTAAGCGGGATCCCTGCCGAGCTCTCTCCTTGAAAAGCAGAAGGATTCGGCAGCTCCGTCGCCCGGGGCTGAGCGCTGAAATCGGCAGCGGAGCAAGGAGCTGCTCTGCTGGAGGTTGGGGATGGTGCTGAGCAGCAGGAGGGCTGGGATCCACATGGACACATGGTTATGGGCTCAATGGGGGCGGGGGGGATAGATCAGTGATAGTGCTGTTTTTTCACCAAAAAAAACCCCCACATTTAAAACCCCAATTCCTATGATTTTCCACCTCTTATTTCAAGGAGCTGGAGTGGGAAGTAACTACTAACTTAGTACTTAGTAACTAAGTGTGCTACTTCCAGGGCAGCCTGGAAGTAGAGCGAACAGCGTTCAGACCTGTAGAGGCCTGAACAGTGGCCAGCTTTGCCATCAGTCCCAAATCCTGTGTTTTATAGGAACATGGAATCATGGAATGTTTTGGGTTGGAAGGGACTTAGAAATCATCTCGTTCCAACCTCCTGCCATGGGCAGGGACACCTTCCACCATCCCAGGTTGCTCCAAGACCCCTCCAACCTGGACTTCAATATTTCCACAGATGCAGCAGCTACAGCTTCTCTGGGAATTCCATTCCAGGGCCTCACCACTTTCACAGGGAAGAATTTCTTCCCAATATCCCATCTAACTCTGCCCTCTGACAGTGGGAAGCCATTCCCCCTTCTCTTGTTATTCCAGACCCTCGTCCAAACTCCCTCTCCAGCTCTCTTGGAGCCCCTTTAGACACTGGGAGAGCCTCTAAGGTTTCCCTGGAACTTTCTTGTCTCTAGGCTGGACACTCCCAGCTCTCCCTGCCTGAAAATACCCACAGGATATTTTCTTCATTTTCTCACTTCACCTGCAGACAGGATACATCCTGGACCAAAGAGAAATGCTTGGAAAAGGAGGTGACCAGACAGGAATTCAAACACAATAATTTCTCCCAAAATATTAGCAAGCAGAAAACCAAATCCCTCAACCTGATAACTTCTTTTAAAATAAATGGGACAAAATTAGGGAAGAGAAAAAAAATTAAGGAACAGCCCATTAGGGATTGAAGACTAGGATGAATGTATGGGCAGAACTTCCAAGCCCACCTGGAAGGGACAATCCCAGTGGAGCACAAGATTGTGGGGATGGGCCCTGGTGGAAGGCCCTGGCCTGAACATCTCCAGTTCCTGGAATGACAGAATATCCTGACTTGAAAGGGACTCCCAAGGATCATCAAGTCCAAATCCTGTCTCTGCTCAGGATCATCCCTGAAAAGGATGTGAAATCCTCTTCTGTAAAGGGGTTTCCAGCACAAAATGGACTTGGAAAGGAGAAGAGCAGGAAAAAAGACCCCTGACCTCTAAAAGCCACATGGATACATCACTGCTACATCGAGGAATGCAGTTTTGGGAAAAGGCCAAGAAACGTGGCTGTTCCCTCCCAGCGGGGCACCGATTATGGGGTGGGACAGCGCCATGATCCCAGCTGGGCACCGGGATCAGGATGTGCCACCTCCCCAGTGCCCTACCCAGCCCCAGCCTCCAAGAGAATCCTTGGAGCAGCCCATGTTTATTGGCTCCATGGTAAAAAGATACTTAATAAAGAAAACAAACCGTGTGCGACTAATCCCAGGGCTGTGTCCCCAGCTCAGGTTTCTAATGGCTTTTCCACAACGTTCCCAGCGCTCCGGCCCTTCTTCCACAACGCCCCATCCATCCTCGTTGTCCCACAGCTGGGATGGTGAGGCTGGAATCGCCTCCAGAGGCTGGAAAAGCCCCTTCTGTTTATTTACAGTAGCTCTCTTGCTCCTGCCAGATCCAACATGCTGGAGCTGGGTTTCTGTAGGGAATTTTGCTGCTGGCCCCGCGTCAGCCGGGGTGAAGCTGAGCGGGGCTGTGGGGTGGTGCTGGGGGCCATCTGATCCCTGCCACCTGTTGGGGTGGCTAATTATACCCCCCCGGGACCCCCGCCAGACCACAGGTTGGGCCATAAAAAGGGAAAAAAGTCTGGTCCCTTCCACCAGAGAGATGAGAAAACCCCAGAGAATCCCCAAAAAGCCACAGGGAGAAATCTCACCCCATTCCAGCTCCACCAGGTGCTGACGAGGATGCCAACATCCCCATGGATATGTCCCAATTCCAGTGTCCCCACTGTGGGGTTCCCCTCACAGCCTGTCCAGCAACAATGCCCGGGGCTGGGATGGTGCCCAGCTGGCAGATCCCATGTCCAGGACTCCTCCCTGGCTGCCAAGGCAGCTTTGGGTGAAATTCCAGGTGCTGTGAAGGATCCACAAGGCCTTAAATGGTCCAACAGGGCCCGACGTGCTCCAGGAGTGAGACAGGGATGAGAAGGTTTGCAGGGCCCAGCCTTCTTTAGCACGGAGCTGGCAAAGGAGGCAACAACTGGTGGAAAGTCCTGGCTCAGTCCTGGGAATGATGTTAATGAACATTTTCCATGAACAAGCTTGGCAAGAGGGGACGGAGGGTGGGAGGAAGGTGAAGCTGGGTCACTGGGCCAGCCAAAAACCAGCCATTGACCGTATGGGGTGAGGAGGAGAGATCCCACCCAGCCTGGCATTCCCAGCTCCTGAGAAGCAGTTTGGCCAGGTTGAACTTCTCAAGTATCTCCAGGCTTAATCTCACCCCCTGCTCCTTTCCCAGTGCTAGGGGACAGCAGGTGACAAGGGCTGGACTTTGATGATCCTTGAGGATCCTTTCCAACTCAGAATATTCTGTGATTCTGTGAAGAGGTGACAAAGTGCTGGAGCATCTTCCCATCTCCTTGGGATCCATGTCCATCCCTCTATCCATCATGATGGACACAAATCCCACCAACCAGACCTTCAGGGGAAGGGGAACATTAAAGTCCCCAAAACTCAACTGCCTCAACTCCAGTCTTTTCTACTTTTTAAAGCCCTCTTGAGCATCCATGCAGCTTTTGCCAAAGCTATTCCAGGTACCCCATGGCCAAGCAGCGGGATTAATGGACTGGATGGATGTCAGGCTGTTTTAATGTCCTTCTAAGTGGCTGTTGAGAAGTGATGGCTGGAGGTGCCGGAGCCGTTTTGATGCCACTCCAAAGTGACAGCCAGTAAATGACTTTTTTCTGATGGCTTTTTTATAATTGGGTGCAAATGGAAGCAGCCTTTAAAATAAAAATAAAAAATCCCGGCTCACTGTCATTAAAACCTGGAGGACAATACATCCAAACATCATCCAAACTGGAATAATGATGGAGAAATTTAACCAATGTCGTTATCTGAAGGAATTTGCTCCAGAAAAGGTTTCTGCCCTCAAAACAGTTTGCCCAACAAAATGCCTGCAGTGAAGGGATGACTCCTGATGGTCACCTCCAAATGATCAAGAGGGATTTGGGTTCTAAAAGCTCTCTAGGATCCACTGCAAATCCCCCTCATTTGGTATTTCCAAGAAATAAAACAACATTTGAGCTAAAATACTTCTGGAGCTGGACCAAGACCAAGATGGCATTTTGAAAATCATTGGGAAAATCATATTTAAGAGGCAGCAAAGCAGCTGGGAGGGAATCCCTGCTCACAGCAGGGAGTTGGAACTGGATGGTCTTTAAGGTCTCTTCCAACCCAAACCAGTCTGAGATCCCAGGATTCTGTGGAACAATGGCACCACCCACTTGGTGTCATCTGCAAACTTGCCAAGAGGGCA